AGAGCCTCCCCCCCCTATCTTTTACACTCTAGACAACATATTGGGCAAGATTACTTATCAGAGCTGTTTCTTCCTGACTAGACTGACTGTACCAAATTGCTGCCATGTTTAGATGTGAATGCTATCCCCCAAATCCCGTATCATGCAGCAGAACTCTTCAGTGTAAACACAGCACACAGAACACTGAGCTGAACAAATACCAAAGTTCTTGGCCAGAGGAGCTTATAAAGCTAAAACTATCAGGATACAAGATGTGGGACAACGCAAAACAAACAGCTGAGCAGTCGGGCTTTACAAACAGAAACCTTATGGGGTTTTTGTCACTGTCCTTGATCCATAAAATCATGGTTAATTTACTTAAAATTCAGGAAATAAAATCTAAGCAACACCAACACTGCAGATAAGTCACCTGTGTTCCTGCAGATGAAGTCTACAGATCTGTTATTCAAATTTAAAAATTATGACCCAGGTTGAAACATTCTTAAGGCATTCTTAAGTACATTTCAAAAGTCTATAAAAGACATACATTATTTCATGACTTTCCCAGGCCCATATAATCAGGGGTAGACGTTATGGTTTACAGCTTTTTAAACATAAAGGGTTATATCAAATATTAGACGTACTTAGGAGTAGATCCTTTGAAATCAAAATGACTTACCGTATTTTTCGCTCTATAGGACGCAGTTTTCCCCCTCCAAAAATTAAGGGGAAATGTGTGTGCATCCTATGGAGCAAATGCAGGCTCCTTGGCTTCAGCGATAGCAACGCGAAGCCTCCGAAGCGCAGAGGGAGTGCTTCCTCCGTGCTCCGAAGGCTACCCATTGCTTTCGCTGAAGCCTGGAGAGCGAGAGGGGTCGGTGCGCAGGGACCCCTCTCGCTCCCCAGGCTTCAGGGATAGCTGCCTGAAGCCTTTGGAGCACAGCGGGACCTCGCGCTGCGCTCCAAAGGCTTCGGGTTCCTTTTGCTGAAGCCGGGAGAGCAAGACTCTCCCGGCTTCAGCAGAGAAGGAGAGATGCGCAGCGCCCCTTCAGCGAAGCAGGAGGAGAAATGGAAGGGGCTCCGTTTCTCCTGCCGCTTCACTGAAGGGGTGCTGAGCAGAGAGGGGGCGATTTTTTTTTCTTGTTCTCTCCCCTCTAAAACAAGGTGCGTCCTGGAGTCAGAGCGAAAAATACGGTACATAAATCCATTGATTTCAGTGGCTCTACTGTACATATGACTAATACTGAATATTACCCAGTGTGTTTCTTTCACGATAAAGTGACATATTCTATTATTAATAACGAAGCCATAAGACCTCCTGCAGCTCTCCAAAAGTAACATACACATGTGGATATGAATTTGGAGCCAGATTCGCCACCGCACAAGAGACAAGATGCTTTATAAAAAGTAAACAGTGGCGTACTTCTTTGGCAAGAAGTCCAACTGAAAAAACATAGCAAAACCCAGTTGTGGTTGTTGTTTTCTCTCACGTGCACCCTCCTTTGTTCCTGGATGTAGTTTCTAGGTGCAAAAAGTGCGCTGACACCAATGCTCCCTGGGCCATCTTGAGTATGAATTGTAAGTCAAACTTGTCTGGAACCTGGTTTTGTCACTTGGGCCTCACTTGCAAAATCTTATTTTTACTGAAGCTATAACGATTGCATACTATTGCCAACACACTAAGGCCTGCTGGGATTGTTCAGATCACCAAGGTACTTAGCACAGTAATACCCTGCCACCGTAAACACAACCAGTCACTCATAGCTAATAAAATATCCAAGTACAGTGGTACCTCAGTTTAAGAGCAGTCCGGTTTAAGAACGATTCGGTTTACAAACTCTGCAAAACCGGAAATAGTGTCCTGGTTTGAGAACCAGGTCTAAGAATGGAATCCAAATGGTGGAAGGGAACCAGCGGCGGGAGGCCTCATTAGGGAAAGCGAGCCTCGGTTTAAGAAGGGTTTCAGTTTAAGAGCGGACTTCCGGAACAGATTAAGTTCGTAAACTTAAAGGTAAAGGTAAAGGTACCCCTGCCCGTACGGGCCAGTCGTGTCCGACTCTAGGGTTGTGCGCCCATCTCACTTAAGAGGCCGGGGGCCAGCGCTGTCCGAAGACACTTCCGGGTCACGTGGCCAGCGTGACAAAGCTGCATCTGGCGAGCCAGCGCAGCACACGGAAACGCCGTTTACCTTCCCGCTAGTAAGCGGTCCCTATTTATCTACTTGCACCCGGAGGTGCTTTCGAACTGCTAGGTTGGCAGGCGCTGGGACCGAGCAGCGGGAGCGCACCCCGCCACGGGGATTCGAACCGCCGACCTGACGATCGGCAAGTCCTAGGCGCTGAGGTTTTACCCACAGCGCCACCCGCGTCCCAGGTACCACTAAATCTCAAATTAAGCTCTGGTGGTACGCCCGCTATTTCTGGTGTTCCCTTGGACTTATGATACCTTCTCTCTGTTATCTGTGTGGATTTAAATCCATCAGTTTAGGAGACTACTTGATGCACACAATAAACATCTCTTTTCAGCCATGAAAAGTTCATGCCATAACCCAATTTGACGGTCTTTTAGGATGCCACTGCAGATTCTTTGGCTGCCACTGTAAACACATTTATATGGAAATAAGTCCCACTGAGATCAGAAGGCCGTACTTCTGAGCAAATATTTAGGAGTGCACCTGCAACTTTAGCATGCTTGTGGCCTTCCCAGAGACATCTAGTTGTTCACTGGAGAAAACAGGAGGCTGGACTAGAAGGGCATTTGGTTTGATCTGGCTTGTCTCTTCCATTCCTAGGATGGTTAACAGGAGTTGGCCCCCATCCTTTCAGGGCATATTTTATGCAAGTGGTGGAGATTCTGATCTGAGAGTTTATGAGGATGGAACTTGATGGCGTTTCTCCTTTTCCCATCTGTGTAAGAAATGCGTATGCCGTATATTTGGGCACATGGTACCAGTGATATATCACTGCAGGTTACCTGAGGGTTCATCTGATAAAACTCTTCTTGCAAGATGTATAAGAGAAACAAAAACAACATACCTTTGAATTAAAGAAGCAACGGTGGTTATCAAGTCTTGCAGGGATGTAGCTAATTTTAGACCTAGCAATTAATGGACTTACAGGGCTCACCCCATTCAACAGTTCATAGCGGCTTATACGTTCTTGCATTGTTAGATATTATTATTATTATTAAACAAGGTTGGCAACCCAGATTTTCTACATACATATAAAAAGGAAATAATGTGAGCACTCCCGATTTCACATTTTAAACTCTCTTAAATCATAGCACCACCACGACTCCAGGAATAAAATGGAGCTTGCTTCTGCTGCCCTTATACTAGCTCAGTTGGCACAGCATGAGATCTTGGGGTTGTGTGTTTTGAATCCCATGCTGGGCAAAATATTCCTGCATTGCAGAGGGTTGGACTAGATGACCCATGTGGCCCCTTCCAACTTTAAAATTCTATTATCAAAATAAGCACAAATTTATTGTGAAAAAGGCTGGCATCTGTCTGTCTCGGGAGACGATGGAAGTGCACCTTTGGGGGTGAGGTCAAGCTGCTGGACGGTTGCTGCGCCTGCTGTGGCAATTACGTAATTTTAAAAGTAAAAATAATACAGTAACACGAGCATTGTAACCATGTGCAGTGGTACCTCAGGTTAAGTACTTAATTCGTTCTGGAGGTCCGTTCTTAACCTGAAACTGTTCTTAACCTGAAGCACCACTTTAGCTAATGGGGCCTCTTGCTGCAGCCGCGCCGCCGGAGCCCGATTTCTGTTCTCAACCTGAAGCAAAGTTCTTAACCCAAGGTACTATTTCTGGGTTAGCGGAGTCTGTAACCTGAAGCGTATGTAACCCTAGGTACCACTGTATATGCTATGCTAGCCTGGTCTGCTAGCCAATGACTATAATTTGTTTATTTTTAAAAGTAGAAATAAATGATGCTTTGTCACCCTGGTTGGGTTTCCAGCCAGCCATCTGTCTACCACCCGTTTCATGAACAGAACTTTGGGGGAAATTATACGGCTTGTCCTATGTCTGCAACCCCATGCACCCTCACCTAGGCTATGGGCGGAACGCAATCTGCTTCTAAGCAAGCACGCAGGCCGTCTGGATGCAGAGCGCCTAGAAACCATTCAGAAAGTGCCGTCGTAAATTTAAATGGTCAGTACAGTCAGTCAGTACAGGATGAGATTCTTCATCTCAAGGGTCGTGGGTTCGAGCCCGAAGTAGGGCAAAAGATCCCTGCATTGCAGGGGGTTGGACTAGATGACCCGTCCAACTCTACGGTTCTGCAACCATCTCCGCATTTGAACCTGGCACCCTCTCCCTTCAGTATCCATCCTTTGTGCCACCCAGCCCGCCAGCCACATGCTCCTCCGATGCCCGGGCAGACTCCATGGGCGACCGCCATCCCTTTAACCTATTTGGCCGCCAACTTCCGACCTGCGGGGATGAGTTCTGCCCGGACACTGAGGTCCAGCACCGCCAAATTACAGGGAACCAGGCAAAGGGCCTTCTCGGTGGTGGCACCTGCCCTGTGGAACGCCCTTCCACCAGATGTCAAAGAGAAAAATAACTACCAAACTTTTAGAAGAGACCTGAAGGCAGCCCTGTTTAGGGAAGCTTTTAATGTTTAGTAGGTTATTGTATTTTAGTGTTTTGTTGGAAGCCGCCCAGAGTGGCTGGGGAAACCCAGCCAGATGGGCGGGGTATAAATAATAAATTATTATTATTACTACTATTATTATGAGTCAAGCCAGCGCGCGTGGGACCTTCTAAGGCTAAAAAAACCAAACCCTTCCTCCCCACCCCCTTTTTTGCAGCCAGCTCCCGCGTGCCATGTGCCCCGCGCGCACCAGCGACGCCCCCTGCCCTCCGAACACCCCACCCCCCGTAACTTCGCGCCGGCCCACCCCTTCCGCTTGCAATGGACTCGGCCGCTTTGCCGAGGGGGCGGCGCCACCGCCGCGAGGGGAGGGGAAAAAGGGGGCCGGTTGCGCGCCCGGAGGCTGTGCAGGCGGGCGGGCGGAGCGAGAGGAGGAGCCGTCGGCGGCCGGGGCGCCTTGTTGCTATGGGGAGACGGCGAGGGAGGGGGCGGCGTCGCCGCTGCTGCTGCTGCGCAGGGCAAGGGAAGCCAGAGGCAGCGGCGGCGGCAGCAGCAGCAGCTGCTGATTCCTGACACATTTCCCCCCCTCGCTGCCATATTGCTGCCCCCTCCCCCTTTGCGCGAGCTTCATGCGTACAGTGAGTCGGAACCTCTCCTTTATTAACTATCTGGGGTCGAGGGATGCGGGTGGGGTGGGGAGCTGGGGGGTGGCTAAGAGATACATACTCCTCTCTTCTTAAATTTATTCTTTCCAACCCCAGGGTTTTTCCTCCCCCCCCTTCCGATTTCTTTTTCTTTTTCTACTTCTGGCTTTTTAATTCTCACTTGTCTTCCATTCCCGATTTCAGCAGCGTCTACTTCCAGTTGCGTTTTGCTGGTGTATTTCTGCTTTCATTCTCTCTCTCCCTTGACGTCTGGTGTGTGTCTGTGCAGCGCGGAGGCTTAAATTGTGCTGTGTGTGTGTGTTGTGTGTACACACACACATATATTGTGGGTATATGTGTGCGCGCCCGCGCCTCCAGCTGAGTTCCCTTTGGCTTCAAGATATATGGCGAGGTTGGGATCTAGGGCGGCTGGAGATCAGAGGAAAGGTGAGGAGGTTTGAGTTGGTGTCAGAACTGGGGTACGCGTGTCTTTCTTGAGGGTTGTGCCTGCAAGTTGGTGTGTGTGTGTGTGAACAGACATTCGTGTTCCGGAGTCAGGGGTGTGTGACTTGGAGAAGGGAAGATAAATGCTCGAAACTGGAGAGGAAGACGTTGGCGAGGAGAACGAGGGATTTTCTTGTGGGTGGTGAAAAAAAGGGTTTCTGCCCAAGCCAGTCGTGTGTGTGAATGTATAAAAAGCTTGACTGCCAGATCTGTGTCTGACCTGTTTATGTGGGGCGTTGGGAGGAGTGAATGGAACAAGAAGGTTGGATGCAGCCAAAGCTCTCTCTCTGTCGGACCTGAGTCTCTAAATACGCCCCTCGAGAGATAGGTGGACTTAATAGGACCCAAATCTGATTTATTTATTTTTTAACCTACCTACTGACCACTTTAGAGCTGTGTGTTCTGATATAATGTGCTCCTCCTTCAATGAAGTGGTCCGGGCTCCCTTGGGCGGTGGAGAGACGAAGGTGGCATCTGGGGCAGGCAGGCGAGGGTGGCGTTCACTGGAGGGGCTCCGATCTCCTCCCCCACCAGTCCCCCCTTTCCTCTGACCCTTGTCCCTCTTCCTGCCCTAGACTCTTGCCACAACCCTTTTAACCAGGTAGCTTTGCCGTTGTGCACGCGCCCTTTCGCCTCCTTTTGGACTTCGCTTCATCCTCAAGCGCTGCATGTGCGGTTCCAACCAGCCCCCCCCCTAAATACGATGCGTGCGCGCTTGGGCTTTTGCTAAGACGTTTGTGTGCCCATTTGCTGTCCGTATTCTTTTAATAAATCTTCCCCGCTTCCGGGTGAGAGTGACTGGCTCGATCTTTCTTTCCGTCGTCACGAAGTTGGAAGGGAAGAAGGCATCCCGCGTGCGCGCACAAAAAAGTTCACCTGCTTTGGAAGTTTTTCAAAATGCAACTAAGTGAATTCTTTCCTTCTCCCCCAATAACCCCTTAGAAAAGAGAGAGAAAGAGACTTTTCTCCCGGCTTGCTCCGTCCCTCCATCCTCCAGCCGCCCCCATTTTGGTTCAGGATTGTGACAGCCACGTGGCTGGCAAAGCCTCTCGCCGGGGAAAGGCGGCCACGGGGTCACCCGGGCGGCTCCGCGAGCGTGTGGGTGGCTGCGCGTTAGCAGCCCGGCACAAAGCCCGGCGCAAAGTCTGCAACGCCGCCCCCTCCTCCTCCTCCTCTTCCATGCGAGCGTAAGAAAAGGTGCCCCCCTCTGCGCTTTAGTCCTGTCTCCCATCTTTCTCCCCCCCCCCCGCTCCTGCTTAGAAAATGCAAACTCTCCGGACGCTGAATGCAAGCGCAAGAGATTCAAGCCAACGGAGAAAAGAGAACCCCCCTCCAACATCCTCTGAAAAAAACTTGGACCCTTTTGTATGGGATCGATCAAGCCGCACTAAATAACATTAACCTCCCCTCCTCCTCCCGTTCTGTAACTGGCACAATTGGGAGTACACTCCCCGCCCCCCCCCCAACGCCTAAATATATGCAGGCATTGAGAGAATAGGGGGACAGCGCGCAGAGAATTTTAAACACACTTCAGTATGTGTCAAACCCCCCCCCCCCATATGCACGCTCTGTGAAAGGGTTAGGAAGGCAACAATCAGCCCCTCTCTCTTTTTCTTTCCCTTAGTTAACAGCCCTAAATGTGCACTTGGGAACTCCTGGTTTGCAGAAATCCTGTGCAATGCTTCCTGTAAATGAGAACAAGTTGCATTGCTTTGAGGGGGAGGGTGCTGGTTCTGTTGCTCCTCCCACTGGGTTTTTAACTTCGGTGGACATGTGTGGTTGTTGTTTTTTTAAGGTATTTGTTAACGTTACAAATTATATCTTGGTGGTGTTTGTTGTTGTTTTTTTGGCTGTGGCTAATTGCACCTTTTGGTTGGATGGCTGTAAGCTGCTTGGAGGGTCATACGCCCACGGGAAAGTGGCTGAGATATTTAAATAAATGGGAGGGTTGTGAGCAAACCCCGTAGAAAACATGAAATGCATTTGTGGTGGTCTTTGTTTTGTTCTAATGTATCACAAGGGCAACAAGTGGCTTTTAAAAGTATTTCCTTTCTCTGTTTATTTTCTGCGGAGTCATGCTCAGGTGAAAAATTACTTTTTCGCCCTTTGCCAATAAGGGCATTTGTGCTTAGGGGTAGTGTTTCTATAGGTCAGCATTTCTCTACCTGGTCTCTTCCAGATGTTTTGGACAACCAGGAGGGCAACCCAGATGATCGAGGGGCTGTCTTGGCCTTGGGGTCTCTTCCAACTCTACAGTTCTATTACTCTCAGTCATGGGTATGCAAACTAAGGCCCGGGGGCCGGATCCGGCTCAGTCGCCTTCTAAATCTGGCCCGCGGACGGTCTGGGACTGAGCGTGTTTTTACATGAGTAGAATGTGTGCTTTTATTTAAAATGCATCCCTGAGTTATTTGTGGGGCATAGGAATTCATTCATATTCCCCCCCCCAATATAGTCCAGCCCCCCACAAGGTCTGAGGGACAGTGGACCGGCCCCTTGCTGAAAAAGTTTGCTGACCCCTGTTCTAAGTTCTATGGGACCTGACACCCAGGTAAATGTGTGTTTAGGGTTGCAACTGAAATTAAGCTCCTTCAGTTCCCACTGATTTCAGTCAGGGAGAGTTCAAGACGCTAAACTTCCCCAATGAAATCGCTGGGATGCAAAATCAGTTCCGAATTGGCTCATGCCCATGGTGCATGATGCTGATTTTTTATTTTTTAAATTTAAATTTCTTAACAACATAAGAAGTACCTGCTGGATCAGGCCAACGTCCCACCTAGTCCAGCAGCCTGTTCTCACAGTGGCCAACCAGATGCCTGGAGGAAACCCACAAGGAGGACCCAAGCACAAGAGCACTTTCCTCCAGCTGGAATTCAGAAACATGCTGCCTCTGACCACAGAAGCCGAGCATAGACACTGTGGCTGGTAGACACTGATAGCCCTTTCCTCCAAAACCCTCTTTTAAAGCCATCCAATTCTATTACCTGTCCTGAATCTCCCAGCTTCTTTGGATGTCCATGACTTCCTAGGGTTATGAGAGTGGGAGAAGATATTTTCTCCATCCACTTTCTTAGTGCCACACAATTTTCTACGCTTCCATCCTGGCTCCTCTTACTCGTCTTTCCCTTGAACTCAAGAGGCTGCTGTCCCTTGACCCTTTTGCTTGCCCTTTTCTCAGCCTTTCCAACTCCTTTTTGAGGTGAGGCGACCAGAACTGTACACTCTACTCCAAATGCGGTTCTGCCATAGATTTGTGTAATAATAGCATTATGGTAACAGTGGTTTTATTTTCCTTATCTAATGATCCCTAGTACACTGGGCCGACATTTTCATCAAGAAGTCCTATATGAGCCCAAGGTCCCGTTTTTTGGTCAACCACTGCCAGTTCATAACCCCATGAGCGTATATGTGAAATTAAGATGCCCCCCCCGGACACGCATCACTTTACACTTCTTTACATTGAATTGCAGTCACCTTTTTGCTGCTCGTTCACTCAGTTTGGAGAGATGCCTTTTGCACTCTTCCCAATCTCTTTTTGTTTTCTATCAACTCATATCAACGAACTTGGCCACCTCATTGCTCGCGCCTAACTCTAGATGGTTTATGAACAAGTTACCAAGCATAGGTCCCAATACTGATTATTGGAGGGCTTTCTTAGGGCTGCCATATGTCTGGGAATTGGGCAGGAAAATGGCGTCCGGGCGGATTTTCGGCAAATTGGCAAAATGTCTGGGGAAACCCAGACGTATTTCGGGGGGGGGGTTAATATATATTTTTTAAATCATTCAAAAAAAGGGCAATAACTTTCAACAAAACCAAAACAAATAATAATAATAATCAACTCAACTTTGACCGGATTTTCACTTTTGGGAATATGGCAACCCTAACTTTCTACATCCTTCCATCAGGAGAGCTGTCCATTTATTCCTACTCTCTTGCTAAATAACCAGTTCTTGATCCACTAGGACCTCTCTTCTTATCCTGTGACTCTTCCTCGGGTGTTTCTGGTGAGGTACTCTGTTCTGGGATGTGGGTGGCGCTGTGGGTTAAACCACAGAGCCTAGTGCTTGCTGATCAGAAGGTCGGCAGTTCGAATCCCCGCAATGGGGTGAGCTCCCATTGTTCGGACCCAGCTCCTGCCCGCCTAGCAGTTCGAAAGCAAGTCAAAGTGCAAGTAGATAAATAGGTACCACTCCGACGGGAAGGTAAACGGCGTTTCTGTGTGCTGCTTTGGTTCACCAGAAGCGGCTTAGTCATGCTGGCCACATGCCCCAAAAGCTCCCGGCTCCCTCAGCCAATAAAGTGAGATGAGCGCCGCAACCCCAGAATCGGCCACGACTGGACCTAATGGTCAGGGGTCCCTTTACCTTTACCTTACTCCGTTGAAAGCTTTTCGAGCATCCAAGTGGACTTTGTCAGCCAGATCACATCTGTCTATATGCTACGGGTTAGCTTATTTAAATGGGTGGGTAGAAACTGGGGAGGGGGGG